TCCACGTCTATAGCGTTGATGGTCCTTGAAAAAATATTTAAAAAATCCAAGTCTATGGGTGTTTAAAATGGTGTTTTCAAAAATATTCCTTTAGAAAAATCTCGTCCAGATGGTGCTTGAAAAAATATTCCTTTAAACACGTACAGATGTTGCTCGACAAAATATTCTTAGAAATCCCATGCTCATGTGGTGCTTGAAAACAATTCCTCTGGAAAATACACGTTCAGGTAGTGCTCGAAAAGTAGTATTATTATCGTTCAGAGGGTGCTTTTAAAAATATTGCTTTAAGAAATCCTCGTCTAGATGGTGCTTGAAAAAATATATCTTTCAAAATTCCTTGCCTAAAAGCTGATTTTAAAAATCTACATCTTTGTGGTGCTTGAAAACAATATTCCTTAAAAGATCTTCGTCCATATGGTGCTTCAAAAAATATATTTTCAAAAATTTCTTTGAAAAATCCACATTGAGGTCGTGTTTGAAAAAATATATTTTTAAAAATTTCTTTGAAAATCCACATTCAGGTCGTGTTCGAAAAAATATTCTTTAAAAATACTAGGTAGTTGGTGCTTGAAAGAGGATTCCATTAAAAATCCAAGTCCAGGTAGTTTTCAATAAAATATTATTTAAAAATCCACGTCTAGGTGGTGCTTGAAATAAAATATTCCTTTAAAAAAATCCAAAAGTCCAAATGGTGCTCGAAAAAAAAATTTTAAATAAACCCATGCCTAATGGAGCTTGAAAAAATATGCTAAAAAAGTGATTGGAAAAAATATTATTTTTAAATAGTAAGTATGGATTGTGCTTAAAATTGTATTCTTTAAAATTATATTAAAAATGTCACGTCCAGATGCAGCTAGCAAAATATTCTTTACAAAATTAAAGACAATATGTGGATTGAAAAACCATTCCATAGAGATTATTTTATTTAAAAACTCGTCGTCCGTATGGCCATTGGGAAATTATTCCAGATGAAGCTTGAAAAAATATTCTTTACAATACATTCGATAAAAAATTCACGCAGTGGTGCTGTCTTAAAAAATCCAAATGTTACTGTATTTGAAAAAATGTTGGAAAATCCTAGCAGATGAAATATAAATATAAATTAATACATAAAAAATAAATAAATAAAAATAAATAAACAAATAATAAAAAAAAAAATAAATAAAAATCCAAAAGTGCTTCAACAATATTTTTTAAAAGATATTATGTGGAAAGCCACCTCCAGATGGTGGTTGAGATAATTTTCTCTAAAGAATCTCTCTTCAGTTCAAGTTTGAAAAAATATTTTTTCAAAAACAATCTAAGACCAGTTAGTGTTTTAAAAACAATATTAAATAGTCTACTCTCAGATGGTGTTCCAAAAATTACATTTTCAAAAACTCATCTCCAGGTGGTGCTTGAAAAAAAATATTCTTCAACAAATCCACCTCCAGATGGTGCTAACATTAATTCATTTCTTCTATTTAAAAACTCATAACTAATAATTAATTGACTATAATTTCTGGGAAATTTTTAAAATTAGCATTTCAATTTCCATTTCCTTTCCCAACGAGCCATTCATAGCTGATACAAAAAGAGGAAAATATATATGCAATATTATTCATCCATACATTACTTAATGATACCTTTTGGCAAGGCAAGACAAAATACCGGATGCAAAACACAAGAAAAGAACCAAAGGACAGATAAAATGTAAAATAGTGAAGATCGACAGACAGACACAGTCACTCAGATGTCCGTCCGTAAAAGAAAGAACTGTAAACGACAAGGTATGAATTATAAAATCAAACCATGCGATAACTAACATCAAAATTTACTCAAAACACCAAACGTAAAAAGAACAACAACAACATTTGCCTTCGTGACAACAAAACTCCAGGGACTCCAAGAACAAACTCGCCATCACCGTTGTTGTTGTCGTTGTCAGCGATGATTTTCTCAATTGGAATATAAAAACAATGTCTTGAAGAAAATCCCAAAGAAAATAACAAAACAAGAGCTAAAAAAATACAAAATAGCACAGTTTTTGACTTAATTTAAAGTTACGCTGCTTACAGAGCATGCGCGCCACGCTCAATCTTTGCTGTAAGTATCTGACATCAACCTACGTTCCTATCAACCTACCAAAGACAAGGAAAACGACAAAAAATTGCAGTAAAATAAGCTATTTGATCATCTTCAGCGCCAGCGTCGTCTGTCTGTTCGTGCACAGTTATTTGACAACAAACAAGTTGAGTTTGAAGGCAAGTGGAGCTGTGGACTTAGCTTTACCCTACACATCTATACCTAAAGGTAGTATTAAAATTAAAGATAGCGCAAATATTCTTTAAAAATCCAAGGTCTGCAGCCAAAATGTTTGCGTGTCCAAGGCTTTAATGCACCTTCCAGAATATTTTCGTGATGATATTCGGTATTTATTCTGATACCACGGTCGATTAATACGAGCGGAGAGCGACCATCGGCTGTTATGGCGGACCACACCATCACCAAGGTCGGTGCTTGAGTTCTAGTGGTAAACGGAAGGTGCAAATTTTCAGCTGACCTCTTTGGCGAGTAAACACGATCATTCTGCTTGTTTACAAACTGCTGGACAACGAATGTTTTCTCATCGGAGAAAACCAAATTCGTCAGTTCACCAGCTCTTTTGGGATTCTAGAAATATTCTTAAAAATCTTCTGCTATGGAAGAAGACCTCTTGTATGGACCAGATCTTGTATGGAAGAGAACCTCCTCAGACCAGATCTTCCATGGAAAAAGACCTCCTGCAGGTCTTCTATGGAAGAAAGCCTTCTGCAGGTTGTACGAAAAGAACTAAATGCTATTTGCGGTGAAATTGGGTGAATGTCCAGAGAAAAATGTTTATTTTAGAGAATATTGGATGCCATGCCAGACAAGAGGACTAAAAGTCCTTCTAGAGAATTTATTAAAAATCTACCTTTTGGGGCCCTTTTGGCAGTGACAGTCCATCAATGTATTTAAATATTCTCTACAAATTCTTTTTTCCGCTATAGAAATTGTAGGATTATTTCGCAATTTAATTTAGTGCGGCGTATACGTTGCGGCAGTACGAATACGTACCCTGGACTATATATTTTTTTTCAATACAAAAATCTATTTAGGACCTTTAGTCCTTCTAGAAATATTCATTAAAATCCATGCCTTTTAGGACTGTTGGTCCTTCTCGAAATGTTCTTAAAAATACACGTCTTTTAGGACTGTTGATCTTCTTCTAGAAATATTCTTCTAGAAAATTTTCTTAAAAATTCATGCTTTTTGGGACTGTTGGTTCTTTCTAGGAATTTTCTTAAAAATCCTCGGCTTTTGGGGGAAATATTTTTAAAAATCCACGCCTTTTGGGACCGTTGGAAATAATCTTAAAAATCCACGCCGTTTGGGACCGTTGGAAATAATCTTAAAAATCCACGACTTTTGGGACCGTTGGAAATAATCTTAAAAAATCCACGCCTTTTGGGAACCACGCCTTTTAAGACTGTTCGTCCTTCTAGAAATATTCTTTGAAATCCATGCCTTTTGGGACTGTAGATCCTTCTAGAAATATTCTTAAAAATCCATGCCTTTTGGGACTGTAGATCCTTCTAGAAATATTCTTAAAAATCCACGCCTTTTGGGACTGTAGGTCCTTTTAAAGATGTTCTTAAAAATCCACGCCTTTTGGGACTGTAGATCCTTTTAAAAATGTTCTCAAAAATCCATGCCTTTTGGGACTGTAGATCCTTCTAGAAATATTCTTAAAAATCCACGCCTTTTGGGACTGTAGGTCCTTTTAAAGATGTTCTTAAAAATCCACGCCTTTTGGGACTGTAGGTCCTTTTAAAAATGTTCTCAAAAATCCATACCTTTTGGGGACTGTAGGTCCTTCTAGAAATATTCTTAAAAATCCACGCCTTTTGGGACTGTTGATCTTCTTCTAGAAATATTCTTAAAAATCCACGCCTTTTGGGACTGTTGGTCGTTCTTGATATATTCTGAAAAATCTTCTATGGAAAAGACCTCCAGCAGGTCTTCAATGGAAGAAGCCCTCCTGCAGGCAAATCTATAGAAGAACGATTTGCTGCCGGTCTTCCATAAAAGAGTGACATTCTGGAGGTCTTCATAGAAGACCTCATTCAGGTCTTCTATGAAAGAAGACCTCCTTCAGGTCTTCTATGGAAGAAGACCTCCTACAGGTCTCCTATAGAAGAGCGACGTCCTGCAGGATTTATATAGAAGAACGATCCCCTGGTCTTCTTTGGAAGAAGACCTCCAGCAGGTATTCTATGGTAGAAGACCTCCAGCAGGTCTTTTATGGAAGAAGACCGCCTGCAGATACCTTGGAAGAAGACCTCCTGTAGGTCTTCTATGGAAGAGCTGAACTCCTGAAGTTTGATATGGATCTCACTGTTGGTGTCTACAGCTGAGGGAAGTATGTGGTTTTGGAAATGCGTAAGGTAAACATTTTTCTATTATTCCTACCGAAAAAGGAAAAAGTGAAATAATATATAAAACCTTGAAAGTCCGAGTGTAGGGTATTAAAATGCAGAAAACCCCCATCAACGAAATCTCTTAGAATGTATGTTCGTATGTTTGTGTAGCCATCGTCATGTAGACACATCATTTTATCGCTTGTTTTCTTTGTCATTTAGATCTGGAAAACTTCACACGTATAACTATTTTTCTCCTCAGGCCTTGTCGTCTTGCTGTGGCAGCCACTGCCAATGTAGACAGAGTTAGTAAATCAAGGGAATTACCTGAAAAGAGACAAGGCAACTCGAGAATAACAGTTACCATTATTAAACACCGCCGGAGATGTAGTTCAGATGGTGGTTCTTTGATTAGGCGACCAACAAATGTCTTCTAATGCCAGATGATGAAGTTTCATCATCCCCGTGATCACCCAACATTACTCACTCCATATTTGAAGAAGAAGAAGAAGAAAAAAGAAATTCTAAGCACTTACAGCCTGTTCCACGATCTCGAAAGAAAATTTGTGCGAACGAAGGCTACTCACTCACTTTCGCATAAGAATGCGTTCCACTAATTTTCGTTCTTTCTTTCGCATAGCCTTACGTGATTCAGTGTTGCAAAATATTTTTTGGCAAAATTAATCGCGAAATAAGGCAAAAAAAAAGCGCCAAATGTCTAATATAAACGCGAAAAAGCAGCAGTGGCTCTGTCTCAACTGACAGTTCTGTTGTAAACAAACAAATTGTAAATAAACAAACAAAATATAATTTCTAGTGATTGTGTTCAGATTATTTGTGTTCAGATTATTTGTGTTCTTAAAAAAGAAAAAAAAAATGAATATTTCTGTAGCCCTATTTTTTATGGATGATGAGGAGGAGGTTCAAATTGTGCCACGGAGGCATTTAAGATATGCTTCGAATTTATTTGAAGTACCTAACAACCAGTAAGTATGATTGTATTTTTACATTTTTAAAATAATAAAAAAATGATTTTTTCTAGGTTTGTGTCTTCCAGTGGTCTTCATGGGATTGCCTGCTGCTTCCAAAAATTGGCACTCCTCTGGCGAACTTTGGATTCTCCCCCATATACTCAACTAGTGCCCGCAGCTGTGTAGTTTTTTCGTGCTGGAATTGAGAAAATAAAAAAATATATATTTGTTGTTCACAGATTAAATTGCATTTATTATTTTTACTTACATTTTTCTTTCCATTTTCAATCAAGGAATGTTTATGTTAAAACAATTTTCCTTAATTTTTATCATTCGACAGCAAACACACAAGTGACTGATTTTGACATTTGTGTTCGCATGCGTACGAAAGAAAAAAGATAGTGGAACGCAAAATTACACTGAAACGCTTACGTTTTCGTTCGCTTTGATTTTCGTGCAAATTTTCGTTCTGATGGATTTTAGTGGAACGGAAATCAGCTGTTTGTCGTGTAAAAGTTGTGCGAACGTGTTCTTTCGACATCGTGGAACAGGCTGTTAATGTCTCTAATCAGAGCATGCGAACACAATGGAATTAGGCAAGTTTGGCTTAAACTGACAAATGTTCGTTTAGGCTTTTACATAATTTGTGGTTGTTGTTATTGTTGTTGGGGGGAAATAAGAAGAACAACAATGCCAAATAACTGCGAAATGTGGGAGTTTCTGATTTTGTCGTAACACCTAACGGCGCTTCTTCTTGACAACTATGAAGAACTCTGTAAGGTGGAGGTGGAATAATTATTCGAATGTGGGTTATATTGCAGTATGGGAAGATAATTTCCTAAAGGCCTTCTATACCCTGCTTAGAGTGGCCACTTTTTAATACCCATCTCTAAATAGAAGTAGATGGCATCGAAATTTATCTATTGTAGTTTAGATGATATCTGAGGTTATCTACAGTAGAGAAGATAACATCAGAGGTCATCTACGGTTGAGTAGATGACATCGCAGGTCATCTACGGTTGAGTAGATGACATCGGAGGTCATCTACGGTTGAGTAGATGACATCGGAGGTCATCTGCGGTAGAGTAGGTGATTTCGGAGGTCATCTACCATAGAGTAGATGACATCGGAGGTCATCTACGGTAGAGTATGGCAATGGAGGTCATCTACGATAGAGTAGATGACATCGGAAGGCATCATCGGTAGAGTTGATAACATCGGAGGTCATCGACAATTGAGTAGATGTCATCGGAGGTCATCTATATTAGAGTAGATGATATCGAAGGTCATTTACGTTAGAGTAGATGACATCGGAGGACATCTACGTTAGAGTAGATGACATCGGAGGACATCTACGGTAGAGTAGATGATATCGGAGGTCATCTACGGTAGAGTAGATGTTATCCGATGACATCTACGGTAGAGTAGATGACACTGGAGGTCATCGACAGTTGAGTAGATGACACTGGAGGTCATCTACGGTAGAGTAGGTGATTTCGGATGACATTTACGGTGGAGTAGATGTCATCGGAGGTCAACTACGGTGGAGTAGATGACATCGGAGGTCATTTACGGTGGAATAGATGACATCGGAGGTCATGTACTGTAGAGTAGGTGACATCGGAGGTCATCTACGGTAGAGTAGATGACATCGGAGGTCATCTACGGTAGAGTATATGATTTCGGAGGTCATCTACCATAGAGTTGGTGACATCGGAAGTCATATGCCGTAGAGTTGATGACATCGGGGGTCATCTACCATAGAGTTGGTGACATCGGAGGTCATCTACGGTAGAGTAGATGACATAGGAGGTCATCTTCGGTAGAGTAGATGACATAGGAGGTCATCTTCGGTAGAGTAGATGACATCGGAGGTCATCGACGGTAGAGTGGATGACATCGCAGGTCATCTACGGTAGATTAGATGACATCGGAGGTTATCTACGATAGAGTAGATGACATTGGAGGTAATCTATAGTAGAGTAGATGACATAGATGAAAAGATGTCAAAGAAAAGATATCGTAAGATCTTCTTTAAGAGTTCTTCTTTAATTAAAACCCCTTTCTGTTAGTCTTCAATTGCCTTCTCACAATTATTTCCCCCACTGTGTCTTTTTACGGTGTTTCTCGTACCTCTGCCGCTCACTAATTTGTTGTTGTTTTATTTTTCTCATAATGAGGTAAATAACTGCTAAAATTGTTGTTAATTCGTTTAAATGAAAAAAATGGCCAAGAAAATAAATTACTTTATTCAACAACCGTATATTTGGTCACAATCGTGGTTGTTGTTGCTGTTGTTATCGTCTTCATATTAGGGTCAATAAACGTCTTTGTGTCACCCCAAAATAATTTGTGGCCGAACATTACATAAAACGACACTAATCGTGTGTCATTCACGCCGAACTCATCTAACATAAAATGGTGTCATAAAAAAGCTCCAACGCGACTCCCGGCAATCCGTATCATCCGGCTGATGGACCAGTTTCAAAGTGTTTGGCATGCGTTGGTGGTTCGGCTGCATGTTTAGCGGGTGTTGGTTTTTTAGTTTTTTCCCCCGCAGCGAAAAACGACTACAAATCAATGTTCAATTGAATTTCAACAGCTGTCGCCTGATTACCTGCAGAGAGCGGCCAAGCTGAGTGACGGCTCCAAATGAAAACGATCGGCCAACTTTCATAAACACATCATTCGCTGAATTAGCATGCAAGCATATGTATGGCTGAACTTCTGGTTTTGTGGTGGTCCATCCGGTAGCCGGTAGTACTGGATATGTAGTTTGAATCTTCCTCCTCCATGGCCGGAGGAGAAAATTTTACACTGGTTATTAGGCGCCGATGGACATGTGTATTGATCCAGGCCATATTCTAGTTTTCCATTTTATTGCGATTTTATTTAGAACAAGAAAAAAAAAAAAAAAAAGAAAATTACAAAAACAACAATGTACAGTGGTGTTGATAAGGATAGTGTGGCCTAAGTGGACATCTACCGTAAAGTAGATGGCCTCAGTGGACATGTTCCGTAGAGTAGTTCCCCGGTGAACATATACCGTAGAGTTTATGGCTTCCTCCGTGGAGGCCTCAGTGGACATCTACTGCAGAGTTGATGGCCTCAGGGGACACCTACTGCAGAGTAGATGGCCTCAATGGACATCTCGGCAGAGTAGATGGCCTCAGGGGACACCAACTGCAGAGTAGATGGCCGCAGGGGACACCTACTGCAGAGTAGAATGCCTTAGTGGACATCTACTGCAGAGTAGATGGCCTCAATGGACATCTACTGCAAAGTAGATGGCCTCAGTGGACATCTACTCTACAGTAGATGGCCTCAGGGGACATCTACTGTGGAGTAGATTTCCTCAGTGGACATCTACTGTAGAGTAGATGACCTCAGTGGACATCTACTATAGAAAAGATGGTCTTAGTGGACATCTACGGTAGAGTAGATGGCCTTAGTGGACATCTACTGTAGAGTAGATGCCCTCAGTGGACATCTACTGTAGAGTAGATGGCCTCAGCGGACATCTACTGTAGAGTAGATGGCCTCAGTGGACATCTACTGTAGAGTAGATGGCCTCAGTGGACATCTACTGTAGAGTAGATGGCCTCAGTGGACATCTACTGTAGAGTAGATGGCCTCAGTGGACATCTACTGTAGAGTAGATGGCCTCAGTGGACATCTACTGTAGAGTAGATGGCCTCAGTGGACATCTACTGTAGAGTAGATGGCCTCAGTGGACATCTACTGTAGAGTAGATGGCCTCTGTGGACATCTACTGTCGAGTAGATGGCCTCAGTGGACATCTACTGTAGAGTAGATGGCCTCAGTGGACATCTACGGTAGAGTAGATGGACTCAGTGGACATCTACGGTAGAGTAGATGGCCTCAGTGGACATCTACGGTAGAGTAGATGGCCTCAGTGGACATCTACGGTAGAGTAGATGGCCTCAGTGGACATCTACGGTAGAGTAGATGGCCTCAGTGGACATCTACTGTAGAGTAGATGGCCTCAGTGGACATCTACTGTAGAGTAGATGGCCTCAGTGGACATCTACTGTAGAGTAGATGGCCTCAGTGGACATCTACTGTAGAGTAGATGGCCTCAGTGGACATCTACTGTAGAGTAGATGGCCTCAGTGGACATCTACTGTAGAGTAGTACTCCTCTACTATGAGTAGATAACGTCTACTCCAGCAACATTTCTAGCATTCCACTTACTGTGTCACCACCTCACCTAGAAATGGAATCGGAACAACTTATTTTTTCGACATTTACGCATCATGCTGCATCAAAGAATTTCCAAGTCATAAGAAAACACATTCAGTGGCAAATGGTAATGATGTGTTTTCAATTTTTCTGAAAAAAAAAAAAACTGAAAAGAATTTCTTTATTTTTGTCTTGACTTAGTTTCGACTGACTTATCGTCAGTCTGCCGGTTGGCCTGTTGGTCTACCAGAAACTTTAGATATTATTCTTGTCGTAGAATTTCGTGGTCGTGGTCGGTTTTAAATTAATGACATGCATGTAAACTAGTTTGTTGTTGCTGCCGCTACCACTGCTGCTGCCACATGAAACCCCAAAAGCTCAGATCCATATTTTTCTTGTTGTCGATGTTCTTGTTGTTGTCGTTGATGTTGCAAGAACAACAAGATGACACTCCAAAACGTGAATGAGAGTTAGAGGCTGGAGGCCGATACGGTCTTCATTTCGTATCCACAGCGAGACAAAATATGAAATTGAAAAGAACAAATTTCTAAAAAAAAAACTAGAAAAGACTTCTTCATCATCGTCATCATGTGAAAGTTAATGATAGGCGATCAATGGAGATAATACCTTTAAGAAGTCTTCACTGCCGTTTGCTCTTCTTCTGATTCGTCTTCTAATTGACATGGACCATTCGAGTTGGGGGAAAATTAGTTTTGCTTTTATTTCGAATCTTTGGTTGGCGGGGAAAGTTAAAGATCATGAAAATAAGGTGGGTTTCTGCTGGAAATTATGCTAAGGATATTATTAGACTCGAAATGATGATGTGCAATTTGTTGTTGGTAGAAATTGAAATGAACGGAATGTAATGATAAGATGCGATTTCTTTAGATTCTTGAATAATTGTTGACTAGATTTTTTATGTGATGGGTGTATGAGAAATTTCACTTTTTTAATTGCAACTGAAAAAAAACTGAGGGGGCAATCTATTCCGCTCAAGTCATCTACTGCACCGTAGATATCCACTGAGGTCATCTATTCTAACGTAGATGTCCACTGAGGTCATCTACTCTAACGTAGATGTCCACTGAGGTCGTATACTCTACCGTGGATGTCCACTGAGGTCATCTACTCTACCGTAGATGTCTACAGAGGTCTTCTACTTCACCGTAGATATCCACTGAGGTCATCTATTCTAACATAGATGTCCATTGAGGTTTTTAGGTTATCCACTCTAACGTAGATGCCCATTGAGATCATCTTCTTTACCGTAGATGTCCATTGAGATCATCTTCTCTACCGTAGATGTCCACTGAGGTCATCTACTCTACCGTAGATATCCACTGAGGTCATCTATTCTA